AAAAGAAAAGAAAGAAAAAGAAGAGAAAAAATCCAGATAGGCCACTGATCTTCGGAGTCAAGAATATCAGAAGTCTTTAGTACATGGATTTTTGTACTGGCTTTTCCACTCCGTTGAGCTAATCATTTAATTTCTATCTTTAAAAAGACAGAAGTTCTCATCTTAAAAAAAAAAAAAGAAAAGAAAAGAAAAGAAAAGCTAATGAGGCTAGAACAGTCAGATGACATTTTAGGATGCTTCCAGATTAAACACTAAAGTTTCTCTAGAGAACCAGGCAATTCTGAGATGGAAATCTTAAATAGATTTACTTAAGAGCAAATCCTGGAGTAATGATTCCTGTTTCCAGTCCCATCATTCTCTCTTCTTCCATGAATATTGCTTTACGAATCCCCAGAGCTACACAGACGGCATTGAATACTTCCCTAGTTCCTGTCATGAATACACCCGATTGTCAGTCATCCAGCCGGCACGGCGTCTGGCTTCCCATCAGTGGAATGGCATTCACTGGCACCCCACCTAAAAGAGCCTCTCCCTCAGCTCCTGCCAGGTGGCTCAGCAAGCACCTGCTACTCCCTTCCATCCCAGGGCAATGTCCACAAGCTTCCTTCAGGTAGTTACCTTAAATGAGTCTGGACCCTCTAACTGAAGTACACACTGGAGACCTCAAGAATTAGATTTCTTTTCTCCTACCACAATTAAAAAAAAAAAGAAAGACAAGAAAAAGAAAATAAAACCTTTTTAAAAACCAGAATGGCTCCCTTTCAAGGGGCATTTACTTTAACCAAGTAACATGGGTCGGGATGAGTCAGGAATTGGGTAACTTAAGTTCGTCTCTTTCACTTGATTCCTACAATTCTTTGCGTCAGGTACTGTGCTGGTTCTTGGGGTTATATTAATTAAAAAAAAAAAAAAAAAAAGACGATCCTTCTAAAACCGTGGCCGATTTTGGTGGCTGCACGCAAGAGCCGCCGCCGACAATCTTCCAGAAAGGCAGCTGGATATTTATTTTCTTAAGAATGAGACGAGAGGTTTTGCGCTCAGGTAAAAACACCCAGGAACTGTGGCCCTTTCTTTGGGCCAGGAGCCCGGCACCCAGACCGCTCCCACCGCGTTCAGACCTGCGTTCCGTCCGCGCTCCGCCCCCACCTGCAGGCTCCGCCCCCGGGCCCGCCGCGTTCCCGGCAGGCGCCGCGCGCGCGACACTGCCCTGCCCCCCTACGTTGGGTCCCGCCCCTCGCGGCGCGGGAGACATGGCGGAGTTGGACGTCGGTCAGCACTGCCAGGTGGAGCACTGTCGGCAGCGAGGTGATCGGGGAGTCCCCATCCCCGGCCGCGGGAGACCTGGGCCCCGCTTTGACTCCACGGATGGTGGCGGCGGGTGAGGGGAGGCCGCAGGGCCTGGCTGTGCCTGAGGAACGGGACGGGCGCGTTTCTTCTGGGTCTGCAGTGAGATGAGTTGATTCCCCTGAGCCTTTAGAGAGACTTGTGGTGTCCTTGGATGGGACCTGGGCAGTTCCAAGTGCAGGGAGCACTCTGCTGGGTCACATGGCCCACCCCTTTTTGATGAGCTCAGTGAGGGAGGACGTCTAATTCTGGGAGCGTTCTCCTCTGGCTTTGCCACTGCTACTTTGGGCAAGCCACTTCCCAAACTTTGTCTGTTTCTTATCTGTGAGAAGGAGGACTTGGGTATGAGCCGTTTTTAAACTGATGTTCATGGGCTTCTCAGAAAGGGTCTTAGCTTTGATTATCTTCTCAAAGGTCTCCTGATCCTCTGTCTGTTCCATCAGGTGATCATTATGCTCTCCCAGCTCTGTCATTCCGTGATTCTGATCATCGTTGTTCGAATAAACGTTTACAGATAAGCGATTTGGGTGCGGGGACCACATACGGGTATAAACTATAGTCTTTTACACAGAAAACCTTTCAGACTAGTATGCTGCATTTTAGAGAGCATCAATAATACTAATAGGTGATGGTCTTTATTAAACTGAGAGACCTTGTAATAAACATAGCCTGAAGTAATGTGGCATAGGCTTTGGGAGGACATACACCTAGAAGAAGCATTTTTTGAGACATAAGAGCGATAAAGACTGTTCAGTCTTTAGTGCCAAATGTGTGCCATGCCACATAAGGTGGCAAACAGGTTTCATCTTCCATTGTAGTTTGCCATTGATAGTAAGTGCCTGAATCACTGTTAAACCTCAGAGCCCTATAGTGAAGTGCCACATTGACTAGTGATGTCTGCTGCAGACACAGGTTAAAAGACAGGCAACAGTCCCTGCTACCTTCTTATTACTTGTGGCACTCTGTGTATCTTCCACCATTGGCTGTGTCCACTAGCCACTCGGCAATGAGAACCTATTTGTTTGCTGTCTTTTCATGTGGAAGCTTAGCCATTTGGGTTTTGACTATTCAGATATGTGTGTCTGGTATGCCTGGTTTCCCCTAGTGAATCCAATACCCATATACTATGTGTGACATAGTTCATCATCCTTTCCAGCTTCATGTACCTTTAACGTCAATTGAGATGAGGCCAAGGTCTCTCTCTTTTGGACTAATGGAAAGGGGCTAAGATTAGAGTATGTTAAGTAACTATCCTAAGTTTCACCTAGCATCTGGATGGATAAAAGGATGGTATCAGGTGCCAGGGAATTATTTTGATCTTAACTCTTCCCCTTGGTCCTCCTGATTTGTGTCTAATATTTACTTGATTACTAAAAGTCTTATAATACCAAACATGTGCATCTTCTCCATATTGAAAAGGAGATAAAAATTTTGCAGAATACAGTACTGCATGTTTCAGTTTCTTTTCTCCTGTTGACAAATCTGTTCATAGTTGCTTGATATGAAACAAATTCATGGTATCATGCGTTAGTAGAGACAGTGACAGTTTATGAAGCCATCTTGTCAGGTGAGGAAAGAACTATTCTGGCCCTCTTGTTCCATAGGCATAATTATCCAGGGGTCCCTTTTGGTTAGGGACCCTTTCTTTTTGGAGTTAGGATACTGGTGAGATGAGGTCTTTTTGAGGCAGTTGTAGCTTTCTCTAAGGTAAGACTGAGCAGCCCCTTCCACTTTTCATTTTATGAAGGTAGTGTGATTGGATATATTTAGCTTCTCTTGGCTATATACTGTAATTTAATAAGAGGTGTATTGAAAAGAACTTAGAAAATGATTAGATCTAGTGAGTAATGGTTAGTTGCCACATCTGAGAATAAATACTATTATATGTGCTTTTCAAAAGTTCAGTTCCTAACTAAATTGTTACTTAGTTACTTGGTCCTAACTCAGGTGTTCCTCAGAAGCAGGGGGTAAGGGGGAGTTCAACCATTAATTCTGAAATTCCAATACATTTATTGAACTTCTGGAATCACTTTTGAAAGCATCTCTACTCAATCACTACCGTATTGTTCTGAGTTGAGCATACTCAAAAGAAATTAATTGCTGTATTATTCTTATCAATAATACAAGACTCTTAACTATTCACATTTTTGACGTGTATCTCATTTGGTTTTTATAAAAACCCTATGAAGCAGATGTGGCGTACAGCACAGATACAGACACAGCTCTCTTCACACATGCATTTGGGTGTAAATACACTATATACTACATATTATCATATATACTGTATCAATATATATATCTAAATCTTTGCTGTTAAGTAACTTCTTCCCTAGCATTGCTAGATTAGTAAACAGTGAATGCAGAATTGAAACCCAGGATTTTTACTCCAGATGCAGAATTTTTAACAGTATAATGATGTCAAAAATAACACCAAGTAAATCTGGGAAACAAAACAAAAGAGGCCAAAAGGAGGCCAGAATGAATTTTGGCCTGAGTTAGCAAAGCTAATACAAGTGACATCTATTTCCTATAACCCACTTACTTTCAGAGTTATTGAGGTTGTGGTAACTTGTTTAACAGTGGTTATATAGTGACAGGCTATGTTGAGATTTTAGTCAAAAAGGTAGTTCTCCTATAGAGGTAGTCCAATACTTGACTCTTTTTTGCTTAAAAAAACTAAATGAAAATCAGATACTGACTGGTACATATATTTTTCCTCAATTTTAGATTTTCTTCCATTTATTTGTGATGGTTGTTCGGGAATATTTTGGTAAGTTTTTACAGGATGCAACATTTGGGAGTAATTTTAGTGTTTGTAATATCAGATTTATTTCTGAAAAGTAAAATGGTTTAAAATAGTTGTTACTTTAGCCATTGATATTTGATGTTCATTATAGCAATTACTTGGGGGGAAAAGAAGCCGATTAGTCATATCCCTGTTAATTTAATTCATGTATGTGACTAATATTTAATCTTTATGTGTGTAAGTTTATATAAAAGTTGTATTTTTAAGGACAAAATAATTGTCTGCAATATAAAGAATGGGATAAAAAAACTACTGTGATTATTGCTCTTTATTTTAATAAAATGAAAAGAGTGCAGTTGATATATTCTGTAAAATGGATATTCTTGTCATATCAAAGCAAAGTAAAACCTAGGAATTAACCAAGGATTTTTGAAATGTTTTTTCCTTACAATTAAACTTTCAAGTAGTAAGCATTTATTAAATGGGCCACTCAAAGAATGAATTCTTTTCAGAATATAATTCAGAAAGATTTGTTAGAAGTATATAAAAGTAATGTATGTTTTTAAATCACTCGGAATTAAAGCATTTCTTCTACTTTTTATTATTGTTAATCTTTTAGGAATAAAAAAATTCAAAGATTTGTTTGTATTTTCATATACGATAGAGTACTCAAAGTAAAGGTAATTTAGAGTAGTGAATTGCTTTTACTCATTGACATTGAACATCTGTTTTGAAACATTTGAAAATAGATGCTCCATCTTTAATTTAATCTTTAATTTGATCTACTTGGTATTTAAATCTACAGTTACCTTTAAATATGTTATTTGATTGATTTATGTAAATGTTATTTTTTTTAATTAATTAAGCCTTGAACACAGAAGCAAGGAGTCTCATGGTTGTCCTGAGGTATGTTAATATTTTTTCAGTCGGATAAAACATCTGTACTTGTGTACTTTTGTTCAGAATTTGATTAGATTTAAAGCCCGTCAGTGCCCCAGAGATTAAAGTTTGGCATATTAAGCTGTTTACTATGTAGAGAAGCTTTTGCTTCATATTTTTCACTGGCTTAAAGAGAAGTTGATCTACTTGGTATTTAAAAATTTTTGTCCTCATAATTCTTAAACATTTCTATTTAGGTAGCCCAGTTACAGCAGACTACATATTTATAAATATAGATTAGAATTAATGTCCTTATCATACAGTCCCCAGTTCACTGTTTCCTTCACCGTTGTGTTCATTTTCACTGGTACCTGATGATAGGATCTGCAGTAGTAAATCATGGTGGTAGTTCTGTCAACCTTAGACCACCAAGAACAAACCTGTAGTCTAACAAAATCCTCACCCTAATTCTGAAGAGATCATAGATTAGGAAAAGTCTACCAGATAGAAGCACAAAAATAGCTCTGTTACTAAGGAAGAATAAGTTGAATGATGAAGCTTGGTATAGAGCCGTGCGGGTATGCAAAGGAAATAGAAGATTAGGCAGACTTGCCCACCAGTCACAACAGTGCTGAGTAATTTAGGCTTTTTCCTTGGAGGCAGGTCAATTCCAGTAGGAAAAAGAAAGCTGTGTGTACCGTTCCTAATGTAATTTTCTTAAAATTGACAATTAAATAAGTTCTTCCTCTCTTGGTGCAGAGAGGGAATTAAGCTGAATAGACTCCAGTGGGAAAGGAGCATTTGCCTCTAACACTTTTCAGTGGATATTTCTTCCTGCGCACCATTTACCAAGTACATTGCCAAGGATTTTCACATCTGTTTTCTCAGTTATTGCAAATGAAGGTTATTTGGGCTAAGGTTGAAATCTGACCCTTTCAAGTTTAAGAAATCTGTCAAAATCTGACCTCTACTTGAAAATTAAAATTATCTAATATGTTGGTTTTATGCAATATTAGTTAGAAGGAAATACTCAAGAATTGTACAGTAAAAATTGATGTTTCTTATAGTTTATAAATATGTCCTGTGCTTTTTTTTTAATGATATCATCTGATTTTTATGAATGTCTCTTTAGATTATTAGTTCTCATCAATAAAATACTGAAATACCATTAGGCCATTGCAGCAAACTTGGAATGGTAACTAAGAAGTTAATTCTAACATGATCTAACTATCATTTATATAAAGGAATGCCTTTTGGTTATAGTTTTCAAGTAATTACAATTCTGTAAGTTGGTCACCAAAGGGACTGTGTAACAAACTGGTCACCAACAGAGATGGTCAACTTAAGGAAGTAGGCCTGCTACGTACATATAGTGCATGTCTGGCCTGTGGAAATTTGGTCAAGTTGAGGTGGTCAGTGTAGAGAGGTGGTCAACTATGGAGGTTCTGCTGTATTTCTCAAAGTTTATTCAACTCTAAAAACCCAGATACTTAATGCTTAGAATAGCCTGGCTGAACTAAAATTTTTTTTTAATCTTACAAAATCTTTTCTTCCTGTGGTGGATTATTTGCTGATAATAAAATATGAAAGAGACTGAAGAAAAATAAGTGATTACAAAAACTGTCCTTCACTTTTTATCTCATGGATAAATATATCATTTTTGAGTGTTTTATTCCTGGAGTTAGTGTTTAATCTCTTAAAATCAACACAGAAAGTAAATCTGACTTGCCATTTGCATTTATGTAAATGTTATTTTTTTTAATTAATTAAGCCTTGAACACAGAAGCAAGGAGTCTTCAACAAAGGTTGATGAGATGATACCTGAACATAATATTATGGAGACATCTTTGTGTGGGCCTCTTACAAAGTAGCTTAAAATTGTAGAGAGTATCTGAATAGTCATTTTAATATACTTAGAGGGTAAATATACCACAGTAGGAAAAATATGAAAATGTAGAACAGTCAACACAGTAATCATTTCTCACATAAGCATTCATTATAATGTTTGTCTGAGAGTCTGTAACTTGTTCTGATAAGTTGAAGCAAAAGTCATATGGATTCTGTCTTCTAACAGAGACACATTGACTTGCTTTATATGCAATACAATGCCATTTCCCCTTTTTACATTTTCAGGTGACTATAATCAATGAAAGACTGAAGACAGATAATCATAAATCTTATCCATGCTCATTCAAGGATTGTGGTGAAAGAGAACTTGTGGCAGTTCTGTGTCCTTATTGTGAGAAAAACTTTTGCCTAAGGTGATCACTTAAACCATTCATGCTTTGTGTATCTGTTTCGTTTCGTACAAATACATGAACTAGTATCACTCTTTTGTTGCTTGCAGACACCGTCATCAGTCAGATCATGAGTGTGAAAAATTGGAAATCCCAAAGCCTCGTATGGCCGCCACTCAGAAACTTGTTAAAGATATTATTGGTAAGTATTTAGAAAGCTTATTTTGTTGCTTTCTGTATTGCTGTGGACTCTTAGTTCTAGAGCGCCTGCTTCTTAAGTTTGCTCACCAGTTACCTAACAGCCCTGATGATAATAACTTGTATTTTGATACATACTTGTGACATTACTTCTCACAATGTTTACCTGACCAATGAAAATTTGGAAATTATTTGGAAGTACTCCTGTCAGGGTCTCTTTTGCTGATTCCACGTAGTTCAGCTAGTTAGAAAAATTGGCTAGAAATGGTATTATGAGATTGAAGTACTAAATTGCTTTTTCAAAAGACTAATATCTAGTCAGCTGACTTAATGGTAATATGAGATACATGTACTGGGAAAGAAAGTATCCATGGCTTAGATCAATCTCCCTGCCAATACATTACTTCAAAATTTTCACCCTGTAGCAAGGATAGTACCTTTATCAAAATCTTCCCTTTTAAACAGGCTTAAGTTGGAAAGAAGCAGTGTAACAATGAATTTTTTGATGTGGTGATTGTTTAGATCAACCTCAATTACATTTCCCATTGGTCATAAAAATATAAACTTACACAATGAATGTGGTCTCTGTATATTTCTATTGTGTGCAATTTGTGTACATTTCAAGGCCGTAGTTACTAAACACTTTATAAATAAACTCTGAAAAATGCAATAGCTCTTATGTGCTTACATGCTTATGCTTATCTCTTAGATTCCAAGACGGGAGAGACGACAAGTAAACGACGGAAAGGTGCCAAGAATAGTCAAACAGCAGCAAAGGTTGCATTGATGAAATTAAAGATGCATGCTGATGGGGATAAGTCATTGCCTCAGGTTGGTCTTAGAGATTTTTAAAAAATTCCAAGTGTAGCCAAAGGCCTCTTTTTCTCCTCCCTCCCATCAAGTAATAACTAACCTGAACCTGGTATGTATCATTCCTAGTATTACATGGTCTATTGCTGTATAAATAATATATAGTTTTGTGAGATTTTTCACTTAGAGAAAACTCCAATTTGGGAGGCTGAGGCAGGAAGTTCTTGAGACCAGCAGTTCAAGACCAGCATGGGCAACATAGAAGGACTCTTTTATCTCTACACAGGGGAGAAAAAAATGAGAAAAGAAATTATATGCATTCATTCTTTATTCTTCTTCGACTTTTTTTCCCCACTAGACATCATGTTTTTAACATTTATCCATGCTGAGACATTTAGTCAAATTCGTTATTTGACAGCTGCACATTATTCCATAGTATAAATATATCTGAGTTTATTCCATTAATAAGCAAAATTCAGATTTTTCTAGTGAACATCATTGTGTACGGATAGAGTTCCTCTAGGACTGTACCTTTAAAACTTATCAATTAGGGCAGCGCCTGTGGCTCAAAGGAGTAGGGTGCTGGCTCCATATGCTGGATGTGGTGGGTTCAAACCCAGCCCTGGCCAAAAACTGCAAAAAAAGAAAAAAACAAAAAACTTATCAATTATTTTATGTAACAACACAGTATGTGTATACACACATGTACCTTAACACAGTTTTATTAAGAGATACTTAGCCTTAAAATGTGTTATATGATGTATACTCCTTTGATTTGATTTGATCAGAATCTACTAGGTTGATTTTCTAACCCCTGATGGATTAGAACCACCATAGTGAAAAATGTTACTTTAGGGATATATTAGAAATAGAAAAACTGAGTTATGGGATTATCTCATTTCAGCTTTACTAGATATTGTCAACTTCTTACTGCCAGCATTCCACTTGTTTGTTTCTTTCCAGTAGTGCTTTTCAACTAACTATGTCTGTTCTTGGCCATTTATTCTTTCATAAAAATTTTAGGATCACTTTATCCTATTCTATGAAATTGTGGTTTTGATAGAAATAATGCTGAACTTAGAGAACTGACATCATTAGACTTCTTGACTCTCATCTATGTCCATGGTTTAACTTTCCAACTTTTCTTTAGGTCTTCTTTTATGTGTAATTATAGAAGTAACATTCTGTTTATACTTTATAATGCCTGTCATAAATATCTATATACTTTTCTTAGATTTATTCTTAGGCTCTAAATAACTTTATTCTCATTGTAAATAATACCTTTTTTGAAAATTAAGTTCCCCTAATTGTTTTATTATTGTTTGGTGTATATTGCCCTTCTGTCCACCAAACAAATTCCTATTAGTTTCCATACTTTGTAGATTTTTGTGGAATTTTTGTATCCTGTCATATCTTTTGTAAATACCAGTTTTTATGGGCTGATCTCCCCCAAATTTTTTTATTTTACTCCTTTTTATTGTCATTATTTGTCTTACTGCTGAGATCTTCAGATGAACGCCGAATAACATGGATAGAAATGGACATTTTCATCATATTTCTGACTTCAATGAAAATGCTTCTAAGTCTTATGTTTGCAATAGATTTTTTTTTTTTTTTTTTTTTT